AGTGCAATTTTAAAAAGAAGAAAACATGTTCTAGAAATTAAAAAATTAAATTAGTAACTGAACTGAGTTTAATAACAGACTGGAAGGTAAAGTAAAATTTAGTAAACTCAAAGGTCGGTCAAAAGCTATTAGAATGTGGTGTGGTGTGACAAATATGGAATCGGAAAGTTAGTGAACGTACGCTCAGAAGGTGTCATGGACACACTGGAATCACACCAGAAAGAGTGTAAAGAACAATGTGAAGGTGATATCTGAATCGGTGAGACTGGTTCGGCATAAGGCATCAATCTAAAATTTAGAACATGCTTGTCTTAAATTCATGACGGCAGATGGAGTTATCTAAATGACAGTAAATTACATTTTTTAGTAGCTATTTTCAAGATGAAACAGAAGAAATTTTTAGAAAAACATTGATACTCAGAATCCAGCTGGTATTAATAGATTTGAAAGTTTATATACAAAATTTGGGAGCAACAGAAACATGGAAGCAGATGAGATTACTCTTTTATTCAAACGTGGATATTAAGTTTTCATCAAGTGAAAAGTTCATTTAGTTTTAAATAAAGGAAATTCTAAAACATGTTACAGACATTTTTAGTCTCCTTCACAGACTGAAGAAGTGACTGAAAAACATTACCAGAACTCAGGGAAACAAACAAAAGTTGTAGACGCCAGGAAAAAAGCTAGGATTCATAGATGAAACAAAAAAATCCTATTATGAATAGTCTAGCACCTCTGAAACTAAAAATTTACTGGATAGGTGGGCTGATTTTCTCTGCCTTCTTTTGGTGGCTACAGAAATACAGAGAAACCAGAGGACAATAAAACTAGAACACCTTAATTCCTACTATCTAAAGACTTCTACCATTTTATCATTTTCCAACAATCAGATTTCACATTCATGAACGAAGAAGAAAATAAATAATCCAGCTGAGCACAGTGGTACACACATGTAACCCCAGCACTCTGAGAGGCTGAGGCAGGAGAATTGCAAGTTTGAGGTGAGCCTGGGCAAGTTAGTGAGACTCTTCTCAAAAAATAAAAAAGGGCTGGGGTTGTTAGTGGTAACCTAAGGGAATAATGCAAGGTGTTTGTCTCAGTTTAGGCACTTAGGGATAGAGAAACATGCACTGTGTGGTCAGCACTCACGCTGCTTCAGCTCAGAATCTTAAAGTACTTTCATTTCTGCTCACTTAAGTTTGCTAACAACTTATAGCCTTTTTAATATACTGTACTATTTTGTAGTTTCTTTCAATTTCCAAGTCAATTTTCTATTGGGTCAGCTATTTTTGTTGGCCATAAAGTCTTCCTCATACCTCTTCAAACAAATACAGAATACTCATACAATGGAACACTACTCAGCAGTAACAAGTAACAAACTACTGATACATACAATGTGGATGAATTTGTGCACGTATACGTGTGCATGTGATGCTTATTTACAATGAACTGAAGAACAAGGTTTAACTTAATGGGATACAGGACTGCACTGGATGGTGCACTGCTTTTGTGACCAAGATCCATTTGAAGTATCAATTAACTTTTAATTCTTAGAGGGAAACAAAAGCAGCCTTTCACAAAGAATAAACTGCAGGTGCTATAAGGGGCACAGAACTCTTCTAACAGTAGGCCTGCTACCTTTCTGTACTACAGAAAGGTCTACTTATCTAACACAAAGGGCGTGAAGACTAGGAGAGAAAGGGTGATTGGTATGTGGTCTGTTCACTCAATATGCTTCTAAAGCCTCACTAGACGAGTCAAAGCCAGCCAGGAAGCAACAGCACTAAGAACATGGATGAATCTTAAAATTCATTATCTTTCATAAAAGAAATCAGACACACTAAAAATATAATTCTATTAATATGACGTTCTAGAATAGAAATAGTGACAGAAACAAGATCCAGATCACATTGTAGCTTTGGGCGTGGGAAGATTTAATTGGAAAGGGGCACAAGGAGACTTTTGTGAGTTATACAAATGTATACAATACTCAAAACTAATCCAATTGTATACCGGAAATATATTTTACTATATGTAAATTGTATAGAATTAAAATTTTTAAATTGCAGAATTCACTCAGTACCATAGGGTAAGACTTCTAATTAACTATAGAATATGCAACAGTTTATTCTTAATCTTTATTCTTTTATTTATCTACTTCTGGTACAAATAAAAAATGTTTTCATATAAGTAACTCAGTTTCATATAAAGTCTACAAACCCTTAGAAATTATCTGCAAGTTAAAGAAAAGTAAATACATCCTTGAATTTTTTTTTCCATTTTCTCTACAGACTAACTATCATTTGTGCTGACTGCATAGATTGGAGAAGTTTCCACGGTACCTTATATACAGAACTAAGACTTCAGTGTCTACCTTAGAGGTTAACTTCTAAGATTTTGTTATTACTTCCACATCATGAGCAAGAACATGGACCTCATTTTCATTAACATTGAGAAATTAGAGGTCAATGTTTCTTTCCAACTATCAAGTGTCTTACCATCTACCTTTCACAAAAACTAGTTATTAATAAACTTTATGGCCTACTTTTCTCCCATACCTTCTCTTAAGGGATAATTTCTCTCAGGGAAATAATTGCTCAACAAAATAGATGATGTCAACAGACAAAAGTAAATTCATCCAGAGATCTGTTTTTTTCCTTGACATCTGAATAGTGGTTCCCTGACATATCTATCCCTAGTATCTTTTGATATATTTCACATGAAATTAAAACTCTCACTCTTAGCACAGGTTTTGATTTTTGTCATTGCTAATGATTCATCTATAAAACTGCCCCCAAATCTCACTGTGCTCTTGTGTCCTGAGGATTTTTTTCCTCTATGGTGATATATATTATCCTGAACCATGTGCTATCACTAGTGCTATCCTTACAAAATCTGCAGCCTAAACCGTACGTACTGTTTTCTATGTATTTTTAGGTCTATCAATTAAATACAATTCAATCACTTTATTGTTTAATGCTTTAAAAATTAAAAAAGGAAAGCCAGTTGGACAGTTTGTTTCTCAGGTTAGTTTTCATTGCTGAAAATTAAATGCAGACTTAAATCATGCTATAAAATTTTCTATTTATTTGAGTTGAGTATGTCCCAATCTAAATCTTGTGCTCTTTCAAATTCATCAGCTATTTTAGGGTTTTGGGTTTTAAAACTGCCTTGAATGTAGTTATCTTATTGGTTTTAGCATGTGCTACTAATCTTGTGTCATTTTAATGCAAATGGAATCTGTTTATCCAGACATAGCCTATGTATCTGATTGATGTCATCAAGTTCTCGAGAAGGCAGAATAGTCTAGAACCTGTGACAGTGGTTCAGCTACTCCTTCAGGGTGTGTATGTGACAGTGATTGAAAGCACAAAGGCTTCGCTACTTATAATAACTTTTAGAAACAGTTAAAATAAAACAAGCAGAAACCAATTTCCCATTGAACTCCGAGAGGCAAGTCTTATCTTAAACTGCTGAATGTGCAAACCCAAACTACAACCCATGGGAATTACTTCAGCAGGGTGTCCTGAAGCAAACATCCCAATTTCAAGTTGTAACACAATCTAAAAGTTAACGACAAATAGGGATGATACCATAAATAAAAGAATAAAAGTTCCTGTGAATTGATGTGCTAAATTTGCAGTTTCTTTACCGGTTCTTTTAAATCATTATTTGTTTAAATATTGATTATCCACCCTGTATGACTTGGCCTTTCCCACACTAGATGAAAGAGTCTCAACTTTGGAACTGACATTTTGGGGGTGGTAATTCTTTGTTTTAGAAGGGCTGTTTTGCACATTTAGGATATTTAGCACCATCTCTGGCCCCATTCACTAAATGTCAGTGATACTTTTCATGTGTAACAATAAAAAATGTCTCCAGACATTGCCAAACATCTACTGGGAGGCAAAACAAAACAAAACAAACCCAACTCAAACTTTGCTTGATATCTGCTCCAACTAGACGAAAATCTTTTTTATCTCAGCAAAGATCTGAAAACTATCTGAATCATACATTGCCTTTCAAGGCTGCTGTCCAGGCATTACAGAAACTAAACTAAGTTAGAAGGTAACTTCTAAAGTTATGAATAATTATTTCTACACATCAGGCACTACATCATCATTATGTGAACTAATGATTTATGAGTAATGATTCTATTTATGCCACACATTTCTACTGGATGAGCTAAATTCTATTCTTTTCATTCTGAAGTAAAATGCAATGAGAGACTTAACAGGAAGATGCAGTGGAAGATGGAGCCAGACAAGAAAGATGTCAATGTGATAGAAATTTTAAGCAATTAGATCCATTATTACTGACATTTTAACAGATGCAAAATATATATTTTCTTCTGTGTATCTAGACACTATTACATATGTTGTTAACTAATTAATTGGTAGAAACTCAAGAAAATTGAAATGTTTCAATATATTTTTATAATAATTTTTTTTTGTTTCAATAAAATGTTTCTGAGAAAACATTTACTATTCCTTTACCTAATAGCACTTTCTTCCCCAGTATAGATGCGACCCTAATTTATTTTATTTACTTTGTGATACCAGGAATTGAACTCAGGACCTAGGCTTGTCAAGCAGGCATTTGTGCCACTGAGCTAGATTCTAGTCCTATTTTCTTAATATTTATGTAAAATTGTTAAGTATTATACAGAAAAATACTTAAAAGTTTTATTCATATAGCTCAATAATATTTTTGAGTGTATCATTCATAAGAAATGATAATTTACTATTCTCTTTTTCTTCTCATTCCAAATTCTTGTAATATTCTACTAAAAATTAAAAGTTGAAAAATTACCTTTATGGGGTCACCTCCTTTTGATAATCTTATACAATTAGAATCATAACCATATGACCCTATTTTCATTCCATAACTATTTGACCAAATAAACACTGTTTAAATTAAAACTTGTGCTATCAAATGTTTAGCAGGATGATAAAATAAAAATATGTTTAACACTTTTGAACACACGGTAAGTTTCTTACCTACAAGCAATATTTGGATCAACATTTCTTGAAAGTAACAGATCTACACACTTCAGGATTTGTTCCTCTGAGCTACGGGCAGAACATGCACTTATCAAAACAGTTTGCTTATCTATAGCAAATAGAAAAGGAAAAATTTCCACATATTAGAAAGTGTATCTAATTTACTTCACCTTTCAAAATGTTCTAATATTGCACTTTTAAAATTCTACAACTTCTTTCTAAATCTTTCACTCTTAACAGATAACTCACCAAAACATAAGATCAGATATAAATCCCTTTCATCTCCAAAATATATGTATAATTCATTTCTTAAATTCTTTCCCCTATTCTTATTTCTTCAAGAGGATGGAAAGTAGTTAAGCACATGGACTCTGTACAGCCAGCCACACTGCTCAGATATGAATAATTATTGGCTTATTAAAATTTGCCTTGCTGTACTCATGACTGAAAAATAATAATCTATACTTTCTGGTTTCACTACTTTTTCATCCATTTGATAATTCTTGAAATCTTGGTTTTTAAATTGCCCTTAAAAACTGCTATAAAAGCCACATTCATTGTTCTTTTTCAGTTCTTTTCTACTTGATCTCTTTGAACGTACTCCATTTCCTAAAACTTCTCTCCTCTTGGCTCCCTTGGACTTGAGGGTAAATTAAAAACCAACAAAAACACTTCATCTGAGAATTTAGGAATTCAAAATAGGTCACCATAGCCATACTTTACATTAGTGGCTCAATACTGACAGAGCACAAAGATTCTAGTCCTAGTTCTACCACTGATAAACTATAATTCCAATGATATCGTATTATATCAGATCTAATTTGAAAATTATTAGACCTAATTTAAAGATGTGAAACTAACACCTACCCTCTTTACCTGATGGGGTTATGTGTACATTCTATGAAAAATATGAAGTGTTTTATAATTGTACATATTCCTCTTACTATAAGGAGTGAGAATCAGAAAAAGAAAATAAATTTTTTAAGTACAATACTTTATATACTTTGTATAAACCTCATTCTTAAGTGTAGCTTCCATTGTGTGATACTTTTAAGTAACATAGTAAAAGATAAACCTGTAAGGAATTTTTGTAAAATTTATCAAAGAAAATAGAATAAAAACAGTTTTAGAAATATCTAACAGGTATAAAAATTGTGAAAATTAACAGTGAAATAAGATCTATACCACAGTTGTGAAGTATGTTCAACTACCCATGATATATATGTTAAAAATGAGTGATGTGATGTTGCATGCCAGTAATCCCAGCACTTTGAATGGCTGAGGCCGGAGGATCCCCAGGTTTGAGCCCAGTTTGGGCAATCACAAAAGACCCTATCTCAAAATAAAAAATAAAGAAATGGCCAGGGATGTAGCTCAGTGTGAAAAGTCCCTTGTTTGCAAACAAACAAGATATTATACTGAATTTACTAACTTTTGTTCTCAAAAGCACTCAAAACACTACTACATAGAAATTATTTAATAAAATATAGTAACTTGGATTAAATGAACTATCTTTGAAGAAATTTTAAGTGATGCAATTCAAAGTTGAGTTTACAATTCCAGAAACTAATTTTCAAGCAATTTGCCATGAAACTATGCTTTTTCTGTGTCACTTTGAATGCATTTTTCCTTCAAATATAACCAAAATTCTCAAGCCCGTAAGTTAAAACTATATAATAACATTATATTTTATAAAGATAAAATATTTTGAATCTATCTACTTAGAAAATTTTTAAAAATATGTAGGTTTCCAATTCAAATGCATGTTATTTATATACTACAACTAATAGATTTCTCTCAAGCTGCTTTAATTTTTTTCACTTTGCATAACCGCTGCTTGGGAACCAAAGAATCACAGTAAACCTAAGCAGTTAGTTTTCTCAAACATCTTACCTTTACTAAAGCTTGCATTAGCACCTCTGTCCAAAAGGACCTGAACCAGGTCCGCATTGGCAACACTAGCAGCATACATAAGAGGAGTCCATCCATAACGAAAGCTAGAATCTATGTTAATACCTGTCAATATAAAAACCACCTTTTAAAAACTTCTCCACTAAAAACAATAAAACACAACTTTCATTTTAGTTTGGGAAAATACTAACATACACCACAGCTTATTCTAGAAGAGAATTTCTTGGTAATAACAGCCTCACAAAAAATAGAAAAATGTTATAGAGACTTTAAGAAAACTTGCTGTCTTCAGTTGCACTGCAGGCACCATAACCCAAGAACATGATCAGACCAGTATTTTATCACACAATATATAAAACACATATATAGTATAACACATATCTACATGCTACCTTTTTCTCACCAAAACCAAATAAAAAATAGGAGAAAACTACCACGTACATAACTAGAAACAATTCTTGACAGTCATGCATCAGAGCCAAGTAAATGCTTAACAAGAACGATCTAGGTGGAGTTGGATCATTAAGAACAGGCCTCTTGGAAAAGGTCAGAAGACTTGATGGAGATTACTAGGGTGGTAATTCCAAATGTGAGGCTAGACACAAAGAAAACAAGACACAGAGAACTGAAGACAACCAACTGATGTAGGACAACTGGGACACTAACAATTATTGTCTTTTAAATAGAAAAGCTACACAAAGTTTTTAAAATGAGAGTGGAGGGCCACAGGAAAAGAAAAAATACAAGATGTGTTACGTATAGGTAACAACTTCCTGCAATGAATAATTACTGTATACTGTAAACATGTACTAACAAAAATTTTAAGAAAGAAAAATAAAATGAGGAACGCTTGTGAATTTAAATCGTAAACAACTGTGTTTAGTGGACACTATCCTTTAACTCTCACCTGAATCTAGAAGCTCTTCTAGTAAGGCAATATTTCCAGTAGTCAACGCCTTCTTAAATATTTCACTCTTTTCTTCAGTGGGTAATGGCCTTTTAAATTTCTTAAAATCAGAAAGTTAAAAAAAAAAACAGGTTTTAGATATTTTCATTTCCACTACATCAGGGAACAACGTTTGGTTAACTACACTGGTTTGCTGCGGCCAACAAGGACAATTTGAGAAAAATTCACGTCCAAAAATTATTTTTAAAGGGAGCAGGTCATGAGAATTCCAGTCCTATGTGAAGAGTTACATCCACGACCCCAGCGAGGCGCATCCAGTGAAAACTAACTCTGGGAAGGAGCAAAAGGGAAAACACGAGCGTCTGGTTAAGCGCGTCGGCCGCCTCACGCTTTCGCACCACCCGGGAAAGTTAGAGGGGGCGGAAGCAGGGCGTTCTGCCCGGCCGGGCCTCGCCTTCCAAAGCCACGGCAGACCAGCACCAGGCGCAGCCCGAACATGGCCTCCACCGCCACCTGACACACCTGGTCCAGATACCCAATGTCCCAGCCATCGTCCTCGCTATCGCTGCTCTCGCCGCCGCCAGCCACCGGCAGGCCCCGCTGCACGCCCGCCGCCATGCCGCCCGC